TAAATAAAATCTTAAAAAAAAAAGATTTTATTTATTTGAGAGCTTTTAAAAGAGAGAGAGAAAGACTGAGAGAGCACAAGGGCAGAGGGAGAGAGAGCAGCAGACACCCCCTGAGCAGGGAGCCAGACATGGGGCTCAATCCCAGGACCTCAAGATCACAACCTGAGCTGGACACAGATGCTTAACCCACTGAGCCACCCAGGCGCCCTTCTTCTGTGCGTTTTTTTATTTTTATTTATTTTTAAGATTTTATTTATTTATTCATGAGACACAGAGAGAGGGGCAGAGACAGAGGCAGAGGGAGAAGCAGGCTCCATGCAGGGAGCCCCATGTCGGATTCGATCCCAGGACCCCAGGATCACACCCCGGGCTGAAGGCGATGCTAAACCGCTGAGCCACCCGGGCTGCCCCGTGCATTTTTTTAAACCGTATTTTAAGAAGCATCATCAAAACCCACACACATATATCAAAACCAAAACCAAAAAATTAGCTATCATATGCCCATGTAGACATCTTAGTAGGTTGACTAATTGCCTCATGAAAAGTTACGGAGTATAACAGAGGGAACATTTGCAGTAGAGGCAAAATAATCCAGATCTGAGTAGAAATCATGGCTCCATGGCTGGCCACCTATGTGAACCTGGGCAACTTCCTTCTCTCCGGCTGAGTTTTACTTGCAAAATGAGGTAATAATTCCTCATTCCAAAATGAGGCAATAATTCCAATCTTATGAGGATTAACTCTATGTGTAATGCCCAGCACAGAGCCTGACTCAAAGCAGGAGCTCAGGAAACAGTTACTGTTAAGATCCTGTTGTTATTCACGTAAGCTGCTTAAAGGCAAAGCACACTCTTGTAAGTCAATTGTAGGCTCTGTAATTAGGGAGAACTAAGAAAATAAAGGCAAGGAACATCAAAGTCACAAATGAGGATCTGGTATAATATCATTTCAACACAGGCCTAGATGGGAAAGGAGACTATGAAGCAATAATAATGACCTTCAGACATATATATCAAAACCAACAATATCCTTAGCATATCCCAATTAACAATGTCCTTATTTTTATAAGCCCCCCTGAAAGGAGATGATGCTGCCTGGGTGCAGCTCCTGTACAGAATCACCCTTCGTTCCCCAAGTACCTCCCGTACCTCCCGAAAGCCCACACGCCAACGGCGGGCCACGACGCCGGGCCTGGACATAAGGCAGGAAGCAAAAGCAGACACGGCTCCGATCCTCGTGGCGCTTCCAGTCATGCAGCCCCACCGAGTGCCAACTTGTGAGATAAAGGAGAGTACATGGTACTCTAAGAGCCAGTAACAGGGATCTAACCTAACTGGGGAGATCAAGGAAGGTGAGGGCTGAAGAGGGAGTTGACAGTGGAGGAAAGCAGTTTGTGCAAAGACCTGGTAGCGGGAGAAAGCAGCAAGAACGCATGACCAAAAGGCCAGTGTGCGTGGAGGAAGATGAAGTGTGAGACTGAGCTCGGGCGGCTGAGGCTCTGTGGATCCTGTTAGAGAGCTCTAACATCCCCAGAGTCATGAAAAGCCGCCGAAGGGCTTTCAAAATGCTTGCTTACTTTATGAGTAGCCAGGCTGAAAGGATGCTGCAGTCAGATTCGCAATTCGCCTTTGCCTTCAGGACAGAGCAAGGAATTCAGATAGATCCCAAAGTAGGAAACAAACAGCTTGGGGGGTAGGGTGACGGTGGTAGTGGAAGAAGTAGATAAATTCAAGTGATATTCAGGAAAATCTGATGATGTGTCATGTACAGGGGCTGAGGGAGAGCAAAGTGTCCAAGAAAACTTCTGGGTTTCTGATTCACAGGACTGTAGAGAAGGACACCTATATTCAGGAGGGATGTGCTCCAGAAACCTCTTTAAGGCAGTTAGTTACCTACCCCCCGAAAGGACAGAAGTGCATAAATGCAGTTCACTTGTGCCCTGAACCTGTGTTAACCCACGGTGATCCCCTACTTTATTTAGGACACCGCCAAGACTTTTTGCTATGTCCAAAAGTCAAATTGACTCTCAAACGTACAAAATGTTTCCAACACTGAAGATATTTCAAAGATTCGGCCACAAGCTTTAGAATCAACTTCAAATGAGTTCTAAAATTGGTTTGAGCAGTGGGGCAGCATTACGGAATGAATGTGTCATTTCCCATGATGACTACACTGAGATAGGACTAACACGAGCTTGCTGCTGCGTAAGGTAAACATTTTAAATAAATTTCAACAGTGCAGAGTGCTCTTATGAGATATTAAACTAAAATATGAAAGTTTTAACATGCATTACAATAATCTGAATTACACTACTTTTGGGGTGCTTGGGTGGCTCAGTTGGTTAAGCATCTGCCTTTGGTTCGGGTCCCATCTCAGGACCCTGGGACTGAGGCCCAGGTCAGGCTCCTTGCTTGTGAGGAGCCTGCTCCTCCCTCTCCTGATTGCTCTTGCTCTCTCTAGCAAATTTTAAAAAGGAATTAAAAAAAAAAAAAAAAGGAATCATGCTACTTTTATGCTTTTTTTTTTAAACATTTTGAAATGCCTGTAGAAAATGCAACTTTTTTTTTTTAAAGATTTTATTAATTTATTCATGAAAGACACACAGAGAGAGGCAGAGACACAGGGGGAGGGAGCAGCAGGCTCCATACAGGGAGCCCGACTGGGACTTGATCCCGGGACTCCAGGATCACGCCCTGAGCTGGGCTAAAGGCAGGTGCTAAACCGCTGAGCCACCCAGGCATCCTGAAAACTTGCCATTTTGTAGAAAAAGATATGATTTTTAAAAACCCATATTCCTTGATCTTTTTAAAAAAAAAAAAAAGATTTATTTATTCTTGAAAGACACAGAGAGAGAGCAAGAGACAGGCAGGGGGAGAAGCAGGGTCCCCAAGGGAAGCCTGATGTGAGACTGGATCCTGGGCTCCACCCAGCCATCCCTATCCTTGTTGATCTTAATAAATATTTAAAAGCATCAGGTTCCCCGCAGGGAGCCTGCTTCTCCCTCTGCCTGTATCTCTGACTCTCTCTGTGTTTCTCTCATGAATAAATAAATAAAATATTTTTTTAAATAAAGAAATTTAAGAAAAGAGATCCCTGGGTGTCTCAGTGGTTGAGTGTCTGCCTTTGGCCCAGGGCCTGATACCGGGGTTCCGGGATCGAGTCCTGCATCGGGCTTCCTGCATGGAGCTTGCTTCTCCCTCTGCCTGTGTCTCTGTCTCTCTCTCTCTGTGTCTCTCTCTCATGAATAAATGAATAAAATCTTAAAAAAAATAAATAACTGTTCCCATCCAGTTCTTGTTAATGCCCATCACATTGTTCACTGTAAAAGATTTTTACTAAACACACCCGTATATGTATATACTCTATGCAGACTAAAGCACTGACTTTAACAATACTTAAATATCTACTTTCCTTGGTCTTAATTTTTTAATAGGTACCCTAGTGCCATTGTTGCAGTGGAATACTAATGCCTTGAAGTATTAGAAACATAGAAACTCTAAATCTGACTAATCCAATGAAAAGAAGTGAATGAGTTTTGCCTCTTTAAAGTCAGCCTAACAGAAAAAAATTAAAATAAAATAAAGTAGAATAAAATAAAATAAAGTAAAATAAAGTAAAATAAAATATAAAGTAAAATAAAATAAAATAAAGTAAAATAAAATAAAATAAAGTAAAATAAAATAAAATAAAATAAAATAAAATAAAATAAAATAAAATAAAATAAAATAAAATCAACCTAACGCATCATACCTTAGTAGCGAAGCATTTATTTCCCTAATTCTGGGTGGACGGGCCCCTTGGCCACCTGCCTGCGCTAGGCCCTGACAAGCATTTTATTAATACTCAACTGCAGTTACCAGGATGTTACCACGGCTCGCACAGAGCAGAATTCTTTCATTTTTTTCCCCTCCCAATGCTGATTTTATCTCAAGGCGTGAAAAGGCAAGGCAGTGGTCTGAGGCCAAATGTGAAAGATGTCATCTCCACAAACGAGGAGAAAAGTCAAGCGCTTTCCAAAAATCAGGCCGTGGCGCCCACTGACCCAGTGACTACGGCGAGTCTGGGGAAGCCGCCGCGCACCCCGGAGGCCGCGCAGCCGAGCGTCCTTAGGGACAGGCCCGGGAGCTTGAGCCAGGGCGCCCGTGTGCTCCATCTTTTTCTTAGTTCAGGGTTTTTTTTGTTTTTTGTTTTTTGTTTTCCTTAAAAACGTGAAATCCGGCTGTGGCCTTGCGGAGCCTACCCAAGGCCGGGTCCAGGCAGCGCCGGGCCCCCAAGGTCGGCGAGCGGGCGCGGGGCGGGCGGCTGGGGCCCGGGGCTCTCCCTGACCCGGTCCCCGAGGCGCCGCGAGCCGCCCCCTTCTGGGAACTGGGGGGCAGAGGCTCTCGGGGACAATGGGCTGCGGGCTGCGGGCTGCGGGGCGACCCTCCGGGCGGCCCGCGGAGGCGCATCGGGAGCCGAGACGGCGCCGCAGCCCCCCGCCCCCCCGGCCGTGCCCGCCGAGCCGGAACCGCGGACCGTCGGGGCAAGGAGCCGAGCATCCCGGGGGGGGGGGGGAACCGCGGGTGGGCGGGGGGGAGGGGCGTGCGCCCGCGGGCCGGGTGGGGGGTGGGGGTGGGGCGCGGCCGTGGGTGGGGAGGGGGCGGCGTGCGGGCCGGGGGCGGGGGGGAGGACGGGGGGCGAGCGGCCCGCGGGTGGGCAGGGGGCAGGGAGGGGGAGGGGCCGTGCGGCCCGCGGGCGGGGTGGGGGCGCGGCCGGGGCAGGGGCGCGGGGGCGCGGGGGCGCGGGGGCGGGGGTCCTGGGCGCGGGTCGCCCGCCCGGCCGCCGCGGCGCCGCTTACCTGCTCCTCCTCCGGGGTCAGCTGCGGCGCCATGTCGGGCCGGGGCGCGGTCGCGGGCTCCATCCCGCCTGGCCGCCGGGGGCCGGGGGCCGGGGGCCGGGGGCCGGGGCGGGGGTCCGCGGCCGCCGCTTCCGCGTCTCAGCAGCCCGGGCCCGGCCGGCGCATGGCGGGGCGGAGAGGCCGGGCGGCCGCCAACGCCGCGTCTGCTCCCGGAGGAAGGGCCGCCGCCGCCCGCTCGGCGGAAATCCCGGCTTCCGTCCCTCCCCCCGCGCCCTCCTCTCCCGAAGGAACGCGCCCGCCCCGCCGCCCCCAGGTGCCGGCCCGCAGCGCCCCGGGCGGCCGGGGGTCCGGCGGGAGCTCCCCACGCCCGCGGGCTCCGCGCGAGCCGCCCCCCGCCCGAGCCCGCGGCCCCGCCCCCCGCTCCCGCTCCCCGCACCCCGCACCCCGCTCCCCGCACCCCGCTCCCGCTCCCGCTCCCGCCGCGCACTGGGCGCCCCCTCCGGGCTCAGCGCCCGCGCTGCAGCGCCCGCCCGACGCCCCGCGGCTCCATTCAGAAAGCCGCTTCTCATTCACAAACGGGCGGCGGCGCGGCGGGCGGGGCGGGCGGGGCGGGCGGGGCGGGGCGGGGGCGGACCCGCCGGGAGGGGGAGGCCGGGCGGGGCGGGGCGGGGGGGAGGAGGGAGGGCCGCGGGGGCGGGGGGAAGGGCCGCAGGGAAGAGGGAGGGCTGCGGGGGGGAGGGCCGAGGGGGAGGAGGGGGAGAGGGGATGGCTGCGTGGAGGAGGGAGGGCTGCGGGGGTCTGGGGGGGAAGCCTGCGGGTGGGGGGAAGGACAGGAGGAGGTAGGGCCGCGGAGCGGAGGGCCGCCAGGGGAGGGCTGCGGCGAGGGGTCGTGGGGGGGAGCCCGCCGGGGTAGGGCGGGGTGGGAGGAGGGAGGACTGGGGAGGTAGGCGGTGGGGGAAGGGCCGCAGGGGAAGAAGGACGGGGTGGGGGGGCGGCAAGGGGAGGGCCTCAGGGAAGAGGGAGGGCTGCGGGGCGGTGGGGGAGAAGCCTGCGGGGGGGGGAGAGGGGGAGGACGGAGGGCCGCCGGGGGAGGGCTGCGGGGAGGGGGAGGGCCGCAGGGAAGAGGGAGGGCTGCTGCGGGGGTGGGGTGGGGGGAGGAGGGAGGGCTGCGGGGGGCCCTGGGGGGGAGGGCCGCCGGGGTGGGGGTGGGCGGGGGAGGCGGCTGGTGTTCCGCGGCACCGCGCCCCCAGGCCGCACCCCCTTCGCCCCGGAGGCGCGGCCCTGCGGACCCGGAGCCCCGCAGACCGCCGACCGCCGACCGGGCGCCCGCACCTGCGGCCCTCAGCGGGAGCCGCGCTCAGTCCCGCAGGGGAGCAGCAGCGAGTCAAACCTCACCCAAGAACGGCGCGGCCCTGCACGCCCGAGGCTCCCAGTGCGGCTTCGCGGTGCCGCAGGACGGAGCCCGCGGTCGGTCGGAGGCACCGGGAAGCGCGCGGCCCGCTGTGCTGTTGCATCGTTTCAGACCAAAAAGAAGTAGTACAGAAACGGTCCAGCCCACCCGCAACGGCTAACCCCCGGGGCCGAAGCCCCGCAGAGCTGGAGACAGGCCCAGGGAGGGGTCCTCGGACACCGAGGAAGGTGCTCTGGCTTCTGACGCTCCCTCTAGGACTTGAGAAGCGACCTCCCTCTGGTTTCCTCTCCCTTCTCCATCACTGCAGTGAGAACGTCAGGTGGCCCTTGCCTAGAGAAGTGTGCGCTGACTCGTCGCGACTTCAAATCCAGGTTTTGAAAGCTTGTTGTGGACAACGTTATTTGTGGTTTGAATTTGTTTTGATGAAATGGTTTTGAGGTTGGGTGTTAGGACCTCCTGATCGAACTCTTGCTGGGAGTGGAGAGGACCATTACGTTGACCATAGTAACAGCAGTGCTGTCCATCGTGTGATGGTGGACTTTGCAACTTTAAAAACCAGGAGGTTTGGGGCAGCTTGGGTGGCTCAGCGGTTGAGCAACTGCCTTAGGCCCGGGACCTGATCCTGGAGTCCCTGGTTCCAATGGGGCTCCCTGCATGGAGCCTGCTTCTCCCTCTGCCTGTGTCTCTGCCTCTCTCTCTCTCACTGTGTGCCTATCATAAATAAATAAAACAAACAAAAAATTTAAGAAGTTATAATTCCTGCAGTGAACCTGTGTTAAATAAATTATTGACAAAGGTAATCTCAGTCTCTGAGCATAATTTGCTATGAATAAAACAAGTAATCCCTGCTATTTGGATCTGTTTCTATCGCAGGCAGGTTACTTGCACCAACAAGGCTGTGACTCTAGGTTGAGTGCATCACCCCATACAAGAATTACAGTTTGAGTATTGCAACCAAATACTCCTCTGGAAGACAGTCCATTTATTATTTTTTTTAGAGATTTTATTTATTTATGAGAGACACAGGCGAGGGAGAAGCAGGCTCCATGCAGGGAGCCTGACATGGGACTCGATCCCAGGTCTACAGGATCATGCCCTGGGACGAAGGCGGCCCTAAACCGCTGAGCCACCCAAGGCTGTCCCCATTTATTAAACAAGTATATTTTTATGCCATGCACTGGGGTTACAAAATGAACAAGACAATGGTCTCTTCCACATGTAAGGCTCTAGACTGATTCCTGGGCCATATTGTGAAGTAGAAACAGTAAGACTCAAATAGTATCCATAATAATGTCATTTGTACAAAGAAGAATAAAGAACATATAAACTTATTGCTACACAGAAAAGTCTTGGGAGGGGGCACCTGGGTGGTTCTGTCAGTGAAACATCTGCTTTCAGCTCAGATCAAGGTCCCAGGGTCCTGGGATCGAGCCCGTGGTCGGTGGGGAGCCTGCTTCTCCCTCTCCCTCTGCTACTCCACCTGCTTGTGCGCTCTCTCTCTGTCTTTGTCAAATAAATAAAATCTTCAATCATTGAATGTCTTTCAAGAGGAAAGAAGGAAGAGAGCGATTTTTCCCTATCTGGTCTTTTGTAAATTTTAAGTTGCTTGGTTTTTTTTTTTTTTTCAACTTTTTATTGAGGCCTAATATACGTACAGAAAGGAGAAAATGTAAGTATACCACATGAATAAATTTTTACAAACTGAACACGCCCATGTAACCAGTACACAGATCAGGAAATAGAGCATTCCCAACTTGCCAAAGTCCCCCTTATGTCCCTTCCTAGTCCCTACTCTCAAGAGTAATCATGGTTTTGGCTTCTAACGGCATAGCGTGTCTATGTTTAAATTTTGCATGTGGTCGTATAACCTTCCCCCCAAAACTTTTAATAATATCTTAAATATAGTTTTTCTCCTGGAGCAGACAAATGGCTCCGGGACAAGGCTGAAGTAGGAAGTGGCAAGAGACAGGAGAGCTTTTGCCCGGTGATCATCAGGACGCGGGAGGTCAGTGATGCATCCCAGGTCACGGTGCTTAGTGTGGGCGAGGGCGAGGCTCCAGGCACTGGGCCCCTCGGCGGGGGTCTGGAGAGCAGAACCCGCCAAGGCCGGGGTTCAGTGCGGTGAGCCGGCGGCAGCACCGGCCGCGCTCTGGGAGGCACAGCCGAGTGCCAGCGTGTGGCTGGTCGGGGACGTGCTCCAGAACCGCTGGCCCACCCCAGGCCCAGCAGGACACGCTGGGAAGGTTCTGAGCAGACACGCAGGTGACACGGCCGGGGGAGGGAGCCGGCTGGCCTGGCCCGAGCGTCCGCGCCAACCTTCCAGATCAAGGTACTGTCACCGGCTCCGGCAAGTCCTTCTCATATGTACGTAGCAAAAGACTGGAAACCATGCGATGGCCCATCCGGAGAAGACTCAGTAAATAGACTAGAGTGCACGCGAACGCCGAAATGCAAGGTTCACATTTAGTGTGTGCCTGCCACGTGCTGGGCACTGTTCCCATGACTTTCATTCATCTAATCTCCCATCACACTATGAGAGCGCTGAAATTATCCTCATTAAAAAAAAAATTGGGGGGGGGGATCCCTGGGTGGCGCAGCGGTTTGGCGCCTGCCTTTGGCCCAGGGCACGATCCTGGAGACCCGGGATCGAATCCCACATCAGGCTCCCGGTGCATGGAGCCTGCTTCTCCCTCTGCCTGTGTCTCTGCCTCTCTCTCTCTCTCTGTGTGACTATCATAAATAAATAAATAAAAAATTTTAAAAAATTGGGGGACACCTGGGTGGCTCAGCAGTTGAGCATCCACCTTCGGCCCAGGGTGTGATCCTGGGGTCCCCAGATCGAGTCCCACATCGGGCTCCCCGCATGGAGCCTGCTTCTCCCTCTGCCTGTGTCTCTGCCTCTCTCTCTCTCTCTCTCTCTCTGTCTCTCATGAATAAACAAATAAAATCTTTTTAAAAATAAAATAAAAAATCAAGGTAGGTCCACATGTATTGGCATAGCCTCCTCAGATTTTTGTAATGTGTGGCTACAGGGCTTTGGGAGGAAGGTGAGAGTAGGGTTGGGGGAGTGTAAGTAACAGACAAAAATCATATTTTTTAAAAGAGATTTTATTTATTTATTCATGAGAGACAGAGACAGAGAGAGACAGAGGCAGAGACCCAGGCAGAGGGAGAAGCAGGCTCCATGCAGGGACCCTGACACGGGACTCGATCCCAGGACCCTGGGGTCACACCCTGAGCCGAAGGCAGACGTTCCATTGCTGAGGCCCCCAGGTGCCCCAGTTTTTTACTTTTTTAAAGCAATGGTTTCAGGTCTCTTTCTAGAAAGCTCATCCTCCCCTTCCTCCTACCATCTCCACCAGACAAGTCTGACTCATCCTTAAATCTCAGCTCAAGTCACTTCCTCAGCAGGATCTTCCTTGGCTACTCCCTAAACTGAATTAGACGCCCTGTCCAGCTCTGTCTCGCTTCTTATTGTTATTTTTAATCAGTGAGCCAATCCCAGTTTCTAACTATGCCCTTGTTTCCATGCCCATCAGCCAGGTCTCCCTGCCCACTCTAGTAGGCTGTAAGCCCCAAGAAGGCAGGAAGCACCTCTGTCTTCTCGGCCCCTGGCCCCCCAGAATCTAGAGCCTAGTATCTAGTACGCAGGCCTTTATAAATGTGTTGAATGACTGAATCACTGAAGACAGCCACCTTAAAAAAAAATAAAATAAAATTTAAAAAGACCTTAACTCTGAGTCTCTACTTTTTATTTAAAGATGTTTTTGGGCAGCCCCGGTGGCGCAGCAGTTTAGCGCCGCCTGCAGCCCAGGGCGTGATCCTGGAGATCCTGGATCGAGTCCCACATCAGGCTTGTATGACACCTGCTTCTCCCTCTGCCTGTGTCTCTGCCTCTCTCTCTGTCTCTATGAATAAATAAATAAAATCTTTAAAAAAAAATAAAGATGTTATTTATTTACTCATGAGAGACACAGAGAGAGGGGCAGAGCGAGAAGCAGGCTCCATGCAGGAAGCCCAGCGTGGGGCGCGATCCTGGAGACCCTGGAGACCCGGGATCGCGCCCTGGGCCAAAAGCAGGCGCCAAACCGCTGAGCCACCCTGGCTTTTTTCTAAAAGGCAAACAGATACAGAGTAAATAAGGCCACACTGCTAACCAACATCTAGGGTGAATATTTTCTTTTTTTTTTCTTTTCTTTTTTTTTTTTTTTTTAGGGTGAACATTTTCTTCTCGTTTACTCACAGGCTACATCTCTCAGCACGAGAACAGCTGAAGGTGAGCTCCACAGGGAAGGTGAAAAATCTTACCCATGTAGATGACAGTCTCCCATTACCTAAAATACTCTGGGAGCAGTCCTTACCTATTGCGGTTCTTGGCCATTTTTGTTTTTGCTTTTGTTGCAACCTCAACCATGAGCTGGCTCTCTCGGCAATTTTCTCGTCTGACACCCTGTGCACCACTCCTAAATCCCAGGCTGATCAGTCACGATTCTATGTCACTTCTCTACCTGCCACCCATGTCGACAGTTTACCTAATGTTCCGGTGACAATTATTTGCTTCCTTACCTGTTTCTCCCACTAGACCGTGAGCTCCTTGGGGGCAGGGACCATGTCTTAGCCATTCCTCTTCCTTCAGGACCTAGTGTGATGGATAGTATGCGGGAGGTGGTCCCCAGTCAATGCTGGCTGCAATACTGGGTTTGTACTTTTCTAGCCAACAAGGTCCAGTTTTATCAGAGAATACCCAACTGGTTTGGTTACCTTGGATACGTAGTGGCTTGTGAGAAAAGACTCAATATGAAGAAGGAGGAACCATCATCGGAGGTGCACTGCTTTCCCTCGCTTTGACTCCTCTGTGCTAACTGGAGTCCAGGGCAGAATGGATAAATTAGGTCCACGAATGGAACCTTGCTTGAACCAGTTTGCACTTCCTCCCTTGCAAAAGCTTTTGTTAAATTTGCCCATGAGAAGCAGAACAGACAGGCTGAGTTCCATCTTTTATTTCCCCAGTTGGACTGCGGACAAGACCCGCGGGGCCAAAGCAGAGGGAGACACGGAAGGCTCGAAGGGACAGCCAGCCTGCTGGAAAGGCCGCTCGCGATGGACGCTAGTGGCCGTGCCCAGGCGTGGATGGAAGAAGGCTCTGGCTGCCAAATGTTGTCTCTGCTGGTTCCACGCCGTCCCTCAGGATGAGGAGAATCCCCTGGGCTGGGCCCCATCCTGAGGCCTACCTCCTAGTTTGCCAGACTGCCTCTGGCCACTTTACTGCCTCAAAACAGACACAAAAGTCCACTTTTCAAAACCATCACTCTCACCAGGAATGGGAATGCCTGTGAGAAACTGGTGTGCACATCCCATGTTAGGGACTCGGTCTCTTCCCTCACACATTTGCTGCCTGAGGCCACTCTTCATTCATCTTCACTATTGCCGACCTTGCAGCTCTCCCAGGCCTCTCCTCCTTGCCTCGCCTTGCGCCTTGCGGTGGACCCACTGGGGAGGGGTGCAGGGGTGAGGCCCAGTCACAGCAACACCCAAGACCAAACCTCTCAGGACTTGGTGGGAAAACAGAATTTTTAAGTTAATTTGATTCTGGGGATCCCTGAGTGGCTCACCGGTTTAGCCCCTTCCTTTGGCCCAGGGCGTGATTCTAGAGATCCGAGATCAAGTCCCACGTCAGACTCCCTGCATGGAGCCTGCTTCTCCCTCTGCCTGTGTCTCTGCCTCTCTCTCTCTCATGAATAAGTAAATAAAATCTTTTTTTAAAAAAAAAAAAAGTTAATTTGATTCTAGGGGCGTCTGCATGGTACAGTTGGTTAAGCATCTGACTCCGTCTCAGCTCAGGTTGTGATCTCAGGGTCATGAGATCTAGCCCTGCAAATGGCTCCACACTCAGTGCAGAGTCTGCCTAAGACTCTCTTTCCTTCTCCCTCTGCTCGTCCATCCCTCCTGTATGTTTGCTCTTTCTCTCTAAAATAAATAAATTAATTTAAAAAATAAATTTGGTTCTTTTTTTGACATAAAGACTGGGTATAATCACAGAATCCTAAGACAGGGTGGAACTCAGAAATCAGCTCATTTTACCAAAACAAGCCGTCAGTCAGACTCTTGCTAAAATCTCAAGGCTTTTTTTGTCTACTTTTCCTGCACTACATATCAGAACGCATGAAACAAATGACCACATCTGCTTAAAAATATGCATTGTGAGGTTTCGCTCATTTCCTTACTAGAAAGAAAGATTTTTTTAAAGATTTCATTTTTTTATTCATAGAGACACACACAGAGAGAGAGGCAGAGACACAGGCAGAGGGAGAAGCAGGCTCCATGCAGGGAGCCCGACGTGGGACTCTATCCCGGGTCCCCAGGACCACACCCCGGACTGAAGGTGGCACTAGACCACTGAGCCACCCGGGCTGCCCCTAGATTGTCCTTTTAAGCACATTCAGAGAACTAAATATAGCTCTTGTTCTTAGAACTCTGCAGCATATCCAATCACCCATTGGTACCCACCACACACCTCTACTCAGCCTCCTCTCCACGGTCACTCTTCTGTGCAGTAGAGAGGGATTGTCCCTCTGACTGCCTTCTCATCCCAGCTCATCATTTGATCCACCCAACCAACATTTTAATAAATGCCAGGCACTGGCATGATCAATAAGACCAGGTCTCTGACAGGAAAGAGCTTGCAATCTAATAGAGGGAATGTATAGTAAAGAATTTAGCCTTGCTCAGAGAGAAGCTGACCTTTGCCCTTGGCTCCTAGGAAATCACCTCTAAGACTTTAGAAATGTCCTAAGGAAGTTTCTTTGTGGGCAGCCTGGGTGGCTCAGCGGTTTAGCACCACCTTCAGCCCAGGGAGTGATCCTGGAGACCCCGGATCGAGTCCCACGTCGGGCTCCCTGCATGGAGCCTGCTTCTCCCTCTGCCTGTGTCTCTGCCTCTCTTTCTCTCATGAATAAATAAAATCTAAAAAAAAAAAGTTTGTTTACCTGGGGGTCTTTAGCCACACCAGATAGACTGACAACGTGACTGGGGGAAAGGAGGGCTGTGGATCATGTGTTATCAGCTAGACCTCTGGAAAGGCTGGAGGCTGAGGTCTAAATGACCAGGCCCCAACGAAAACTTGGGACACAAGGCCCAGGTAAGAGTCTCTGGTTGGCAGTACTCCGTGAGTTCTCTCAGATGCAGCTCCCAGGAAGTTACTGCTATTCGTGATTCCAATGGAAGAGGACAGCGAGAAGATCCACGTTTGGAACTTTGAGGACTCTGCCCCACGCACTTCTTCCCTTGGCTAACTGATAATCTGTTTCCCTTCACTGTGACAAAGTCTATCTGTGAGTATAACAGCTTTCAGGGAGTTCTGTGAGTTCTTCTGGAGAATTATCAAACCTAAGTGTGGTCTTGGGGACTATCCCTAAATTTGGGAGAGAGATACATGCAGTGGGATGGGAAGGGCCCAAACATGAGAACAGCTACTTCTACCTGCAGAGGTAAAAGTTTATCCAGATAGTTGTTGAATGGAGTTTTCCAAAGATGAGTAGATGTGTTTATCAGATGAATGAAATCAGAGTGAGGAGGGATGTGGTGGCTGGCGGGGAGGGGGGGGGTTTGTAGTATGAAACACGTGTGTTTGTACAAGGAACTATAAAGTAGCACCACTGGAGAGGAGACAACAAAGGAAGGAAGGTAATTTATGAGGCTGGGCAGATACGCCAAGGCCTACTCTTCCCAGGTGCGTCGGTCCTAGTGGCACTTGAGATGAAACAGGTGATCTCAACTAGTGGTCCTTGGGCAACTCATGCCAAGCTGGCCCTCTAGCCAAGGCGAGCAGGGTAGTCCACACAGGGCAGTGGTATCAGATAGGATTCTTTGGTTGCCAGCCCGGAGATCCGCTCTGGGTGATTAAGGAAGACGGAGTTTACCGGATGCTCACTGGTTTCACAGCAAGAACAAGCGATATCCCTAACTTTCCGAGGGCAAAATAAATGAATTCCAATGGGATTACTTTCTTTGTTCCTCTGCTCAAGATACAAATTCTTGGTGAGGAGAATATGATCGGTCCATCTTGAGTCATGAGCCTGATGTTTAGCTAAAGGAGGGCAGTGCCCCCAGACTACGGCTCCAGCAGACCCCACTGCATGGGGAAGATATAATTCCACAAAAAGGAAACGGTTGCTATTCAGAAGGGTGGCCAGAAAACTAATATCCAATCACAACAACTTCTCTTTTAAGATTTTATTTATTTATTCATGAGAGACAGAGAGAGAGGCAGACTCCATGCAGGGAGCCTGATGTAGAACTTGATCCCGGGTCTCCAGGATGACGCCCTAGGCTGAAGGTGGCACTAAACCGCTGAGCCACCTGGGCTGCCCTCACAACTTCTTTACACAGCCATCTTTGAAACAGGTGGCAGGAGGTGGTTTCATTTTTCTTAAGCTTTTATTTATTTATTCATGAGAGAGAGAGAGAGAGAGGCAGAGACCCAGGCAGAGGGAGAAGCAGGCTCCATGCAGGGAGCCCGACATGGGACTCGATCCCCAGACTCTGGGATCACACCCTGAGCCAAAGGCAGATGCTCAACTGCTGAGCCACCCAGGCGCCCCAGGAAGTGGTTTTATAATTCACAAGAAGTATGACCAGAGACAGGCTATATTCAGTGATTGATAATGTTGGCTCCTCAGTTAAAAACGGAAGGGGCACTTCTCTGAAATACATCCTTCAAGCTATCATTCAATAATATCAAATTGTGCTTGGCGATAAGTTTGCCTGGTATGTTCTGTGACTCATGCATCTGTCTCCCAGGAGTGTCCTTTGTGGAAGTAGTCCCTCCTGACTTGCTTATTTCGGAGCAGAGCCCAGCCAAGTCTGGTGGTACCGGCTAGCCTCCCTAGCTCTGAAATGATACAGTGGGCCTGCGGAGGGCACAGACTAGTGCCTTCTCCTTGGGAAGATCATGTAGCATCCAGGCAGCCAGCAACATGCTCCTTGGCGAGAGGAACATAATGTTCCTATTGCAGAACTGACCCAAATTCAGGAAGGAGCGTACTGATGTAGGCATGCTCAAATTGGCCGCCAGCAGGATCCTTATGGGGGGGTGGGGTTGTCTTCCTCCTCTGATTTTACAGAGTCAGCTTGAGCAGCTCTGGGAGAGCCCAACAAGAGGCCGGTTCCACTGGTGGGCTGAATTTCTGTAACCAGGCTCCACTTAAACCACAATTTCTGCTCAGATCTGTGCCCAGAGTTAATGAACACAAAGGAACCAGCTGCAACTCAGACAAGATCTGACCTGCACCCTTCAGAAATTTTGTCCACGGGACAGTAGTGCTGCTGGAGTAGAACAGTGGAGCCTTTTTGTCTAATAAACCAAATCCTTGAAAGGTGGAAAGCAGCGTGAGCAGCAGATTGAGGCCAAGGGAAATGGGACGCACTTCCTGAGCACAGAGCAGAAATCAATTGGTTAGTTTTATTATTTTTTTAAGATTCTATTTATTTATTCATGAGAGAGAGAGAGAGAGAGGCAGAGACACAGGCAGAGGGAGAAGCAGGCTCCATGCAGGGAGCCCAAAACAGGACTCCATCCAGGGTCTCCAGGATCACGCCCCAGGCTGAAGGTGGCGCTAAACCACTGAGCCACCGGGACTGCCCAGTTGGTTAGTTTTAGACAGTGGTCTTCCACTGCCACAGCTGCAAGAGCCCTAGCTTACAAATCTGAAGGGATATGGCCTCTCAAAGCTCTTCCATGACATAAAATCTAAAACCTCTGCGGAATACGCAAGCCCCCACTCTCTATAGCCCCCTCCTGGGCAGCTCCCCATCCCTCCCTTAAGCCTGAACCAGGCTGAGCCAGCGTCAGGTCCCAGAGCAAGTCCTGCTCTGCTCCAGGATGGGGGTGGGGTGGGGTGTGCAACTGCAGACCCTTCCGCCTCTGTGAGAAACTCCTGCTCTCCTCCTCTGCAGAGCACTTTCATGGGGCTCTGAGCCTCAGCCCAGCTCCACCCTCCTCTATGGATGGAACCTCCCTCTGCTTTCCTGCTTCCAGCTGAGCATCTTTCAGCCCTAAAGGAATCTTCTCTAGGCCCTGCTGGTGGGTTGCTATCCTCAAGTGGACTGTGAACTCCTCAAGGGCAGGGACTGAGTGCCGCCTGTCTCCATAAACCACTGGGGCCTAGCACAAGGCTTATCTTTGGAAGAGCAAACATTTGTTGAAGTTGTGAATGAATTCCACTTACGTTTTATCTCTGGCATTGTCTAAACCAAAGAAAATCACACTTCTCAGAAGAGGGAACATATTCAAATACCAAGAACTGCAGTTCCTGGTAAGACCTTTTAGAAAATGACGTTACTAACAGCAGCAACTGGAAACTCAGCAGAATGCTTAAGTGCTAAAAACAGTGAAATGGGCCAAGATTGAACAGTCATGGTTTAGGTAGCCTGGGGGGGGGAGGGTCAAGACCATCTAAAGTTTAAGAACCACAAACAACTTCTTTCGTAAGAATTACATATATTTACATTTGGATATCTGGGATACACTCTTCACCCAAATTACTGCTCAGATCCAAAGACCACCCAACCTGGGAACCTCCCTCAACTGCCTGAGCCAGCATTTCAGATAGGAGATAAGCTGTCTCCAGCTGGAGTGGCTTTGCAAAGTCCACTCTAAAATGAAGTAACCTGGTGTTGTCACCGTCCTCCTCTCCAGC